ATTATAACTTTATGAAAATATTACATATGAAAATATATATATTTAAAATATATAAATGTGTGTATTTCTATTAAGAATACATTTTGTCAGCTTTTTGCAGTACACTGAAATAGACTGAAATCTAAAAAAAAAATAAAAAAAAATAACACACTTTATTTGTTTATTAATTTGTACAGACGAACTTCACAATTTCACGTTTAATTCACGCGTGACTTGCCGTTTCTTTACGATTGTTTGTCAAATGTAGCATAAATTTACAACCGTAAAATTGTCTACACCATTTTTAATTGTACTTTTTTTTTTTTTACAATTTATTTACATTTACAACTACATTTAAATTATAACAGATTTTGTATTATAAATTACATTTGTTACATTTAATTATGTACATATTTAAATTACAAATATCATAAATTTTATATTAAGAAACAGTATATAATTAAAAAAATGTAAATTTATGTAAAACTTAAAATTTATATACATTTATAGCTAAAATTGCTTCTACACCATTTTTAAACGTGTAAGACAAGTACAACTTATATACATTTACAGCTGTAAAATTACATATAAATTATATTTAACTTAATGTATATCAAAATTTAAAATATATATTTTATTAAAACATATATTACATTTCAAATGCAATATATATCATCAACTGTGTAAAATTTACAACTTATATAAATTTACAGCCATAAAATTATTTCTAAATTATATTTTGTACTATAAATTATATTTGCATGACATTTAATTGTCATAAATTTAAAACAAATTTAAACCTGTAAATGTACATTATACTTGTATTATAAATTATATTTATATAACATTTAATTGCGTGAATGTATATCAAAATGAAAAATAAATATTTTATTTATATATATATATATATATTACTAACTGTGCAAAATTTACAAATTCTATAAATTTACAGCTGTAAAATTATTTCTAAATTAAAGAAACAAGTCATCGCTCGTGAGCTGCAGGCTGTGCAATATGAGTAAACTTTTATTTTTATCACTTAGATTATGGCCAATTGACGTTGTTTCCCATACATTCATTTATTTGTGGCGGCTCGTCATTATATCAAAACTGAACGCCACAAATAGATTTTCCAAAAGGCTTATACTTCCTTGAATAAACGGAGCACTGCACGTTTCAAAATTAAAATGCAGCGCGGGTGTTTTTATATGAATGTATCTTTGAAAAGAACCGACCGTCTTCAGAGAAGCTTTGATGTCATTTTAATTCCGTCTTTCCTGTAACGCCTGATAAAGTAGCGCTTATTTGTTTACATCCGTTACCGGGGAAACCGCTATATCTCCCGCTCCAACAGCGCCTCCTGCTGGCGGAGAATTAATCTGCAGTCTGTGGGAAACTGGTGTCTGTCAGCAAACATAAACTAAAAGCATGCTTCAGACCGGTTTTGAAGGTGCTTAAGTTTTGTATTGTTACTCTGAATTAGGCTACTATTTCTATCTTGTACCCTGCAGTAAACATTTACTCAAACTCTCTTTTATGAGATGAAGGGGAAAACAGAAAAAGAAAATCGGCATCATATATCGGCCGCCCTGATTTCTAAATATCAGCATCGGCCGGAGAAAAACCCATATCGGTCGACCTCTAATTTATACAACATTTAATTGCATGAATGTATATCAAAATTAAAAATATTTATTTTATTAAAAACATATATTACATTTCTAATGCAACTGTGAAAAATGCACAACTTCTATCAATTGAAAGCACTGTTAGTTAACACTCCGCATGTGCTTTAACTTTATTCTAGAAACCGGATCAAAGTGTCCAACACACACACACACACA